AACTTCTGCCATTTTTTTTCTGTCCCTCTCTTCCTTTAGCCTTTCTCTATACCTTATTTATCTTATCGCTGGAATCTTTATCAGTTTTTGTTTGAGAATGAAGGGCAACTTTTGTTTCATTTGCCGCATAACCAGCAATACTAATACTTTAATTAAAGGATGACTATCTTGTACTATATCAACAGATGTAATCACCTTCATAGCCTTGCTGTCCTTTCTCCCCATTGTAACTACTCTTTATATTCCTTTATTGTGACTTATTTTTATTTTAGACTATATAGCCTATGGCTTCCCCCCTTTAATTATCAATAACCTTGGTTGATTTATTTTTTTAATCAATCAACCAAAATATGAATATCAAAAAATGCAATTACATTTTATTCAAAAAATAATTTTAATTAAACAAATTAAAAATCAATTAAAAATCAATTAAAAAGGATGAATAATTAAAACCAATTTTTTTTTTCTATATCCTATCTTACCAATTTATCAATTAGTGGCTATCTTACCACAACCCATCAGGAAAGTAAATGTAAGTTAGTCAACTTCACAGCAATCCCAAAAACAAAGCCTTCTAACCTTACAACACTACAATTCCCATAAACCCCCTTGCTCTATAAGCACCTAATTATCTTAATTTTACAGAATAATGTCAGTCCTTGATTCCCAACACAACTGCAATCAAATCCAAGTGATGCCAGAGACTCTAAAATGCAATTTTTAATGAATCAGTATTTGCCAAGCCTATGTGAAATTGTCATAACATCAAATATCCTGTAGGGGAAGATTTTGTAACCAGACCAGTACCAAAACCTTTTTGACTTGATCCTCTGTTGCGTCACGTGACGTGTACGTCAGCACCCCCTCTCTTTCTCTCTCTCTCTCCTGCCGTATCGTCCTATTGCTCCTCTCATATGACAAAAGAACAGAGACACAGAAAAAGATTTTAGTAGTTAATGCAATACTGAGTTACTTCCAGCATTCAATATTCCTTCGTTTACATTCGCTCTAAGACTTAACTCAGGAATAATTATAGATCGCTCAAAAAACATTATTTTATTTATTTATCCGTCATTTAATTTAATTTATTATAATCCGTCAACATATATCTAATTTATAAATTCACTACATCCGAACAAATAGTTTTATTTTCAAACAGCCGCTTTAAACCTAGAAGATTTGTGTTAAAATCTCTCCTCTTTGTTTGTGGCTATTTCTCTGTCTCCCCCTGCAGCCCAGTCTAGTAAAATCCCACGCATGCGCGATACATTCAAAAATACTTTTTCACCGTGGAAGGGAGTTTAACAGACCTGCTGTACCTCCGTTTTCCCCTCATAGTCAACAACATTTAACAGCGCTCACAAAACATAGAACCTGAATTCCACACACACACAAACATAATTTAAGAGGCTTTATCCCATCGCAGTGGACCTCTACGGTCACATGTTATCATGCAGCATATTAGCATTAGCATTAGCATTAGCCTGTATGCACCATGTAGCATAAAAACAATGCACCCGACATTGCGTCTTTAATTACTTTTTCCTTTTTCCTTATAACTTTAGGCTGCCGTGAGTTCTGGATATTTTATGAGAGGTTACTCCAGACAAATGCTTCGTCAACCACCAGCTGAGATATAACATCAATAGAATTTATATTCCAAACCTCGTGTCCCCAGAACACACCTGAAACCCCTAACGCGTTACCAGGATTTTACGGCCCACCCTATGGTCGCCCCGTTTGTTCCGAGGCTTATCAAATCCTGCAATGTCCTAACTTGTATACATACTTGGCCCCCGATTGTTCTTGACTTCCTATTCAAGCAACACATATCTATAGCCAATTTATAGGCTATCCCCCCTTTTGCACTGTTTACCAGTGCAAAAAGAAATGTATAATGATTTGCCAGACCCCCAGTTCTCAGCAATAACGCAACATAACGCACATTTGTTCTAACGGTACATTTCTCCAGTGTACACTCAAATAGTATCCAAACTAACAAACTTCCAAAGCTGTGAGAAAAAAACTGACCCTTGTCTGGCCATGACTTCAGAACGAGTTAGCTTGGCGGCTGAATGAATGGAACAAAGAAGTAAATGCAGTCCATCCTGTTTGTGACGCCATTTGTGGTATCGAGTAAATGTTGCTAGTCATTGCTGATAAACAAAGGAGTCCGCTCATACTGAACCTCTGATCATAAGTTTATTCATATCACAAGCTTTCAGCATGAGTTACAGGTGACATGCCCACCCGGAGAGCGACGCCTCAGATTGCAATGGTCGCTCTGCTTTCTTCTTCGTCTAGCCCATACTTATAAACAATGTGAAAATATGGGTTGCTCCCCCTGCTGTCCAATCACCAGTCTCCCCTGGGGCGTCACCCTAAAACTGGCTACTTTTGAACTAACATAAACAACATTCTTTCAGTTCCACTTAAAAACCATTAACAAAGACATAATCCTAATACACTACAACAGAAAAAATATATTATAACGAATCAGTAAAAACGCATGGCTTGTATAAAAGTCACCTGAACACATGCATCAGTACACCTGGAAAATGGTTTGAATTACCGATCTGCACAGATTCGCTGATGGACCCTTTCCAGAACCATTCCATTCATCTATTGCTACCACAGGGGTCCACAGGTACCTGCAGAGACAGACACCTGCTCATGAAATAAGTTTGGTACTCAAGGGCTAGCATTGAACTCAATGTGAAGTTACTGTAGCTAAAACTGAAGTCCGGGAGGAAAGATTTCACTTCAACTCCTTCCCTCTACCCGTAACTGTAGAAAATATATTGCTTAATTCTTTACATTATTTGTGAATTGCTTGATAGAAGACGTGCATTGCGACTGGGTAATGTTCAATGTGTTACCGGGTAGGATTTAGCAAACTGCACTGTCCAATCGTATTCATACATACAAATGTCGACAATGGATCCTTCCTTATAGCTGGTGCTCTAGCCATACAAACAGCTGCTCCTTCTGGGGATGTGACAGCATCTGGAACAAAATGGGCATTTATGAAATAATTGGACACTTTTCAATTATTTTAGTTGCCATGTTTTATCACTATTTTATATATAGGTTAAGCTTCTATTCAAATTAGTGGGTAACCTAAGGCTTACCACTTTGAAGGGGTTTTGAGCCTATATGGCTAGTCCTAGATAAAAGTCAATTTAGAAAGGGGCCATGAAGAATCCTATGTGATCCTGTGGTCCTGTGTGAATCAGTTGGTAGAGAATGTTGTTTACAACGCCAGGTCTGTGGGTTCGATTTGGTGTGAAAATGTATCCACTCACTACTGTAAGTCGCTCTGGATAAGAGCATCTGGTAAATTAATAGAATTGTAAAACCTTATATCCACAGAACGCTAGAGAGATTGATTGCAATGGACTGGTCCATATTTATGTGAGACTTACTAAATTGGCACAGCTCATAAATCAAATAAAAAGATTAAATATCAAATTGACCATGACCAGTTTAGATGAGCAGGCAGGCCCCAGGAACAGAAAATAAACATGAAATACAAAACCAAGCTGACACCTCAGCCTCTTGGTGTCTTCATATTGTCAACCTGTTCCTATTGTTATTACTGTTATAATGGACAATCTAGTTTTTATTCTAGGAGATTGCCTGTGATTTCTTTAGAGATGAACTTATTTTCTAACTCGTATAGAATAAGACTTGTTCACATACTGTTAGCATATTGTCCTCCTCTAGCGGTCTCCCAACGTAGAGGTTGGTCGTGGCAGCCCCAGTTAGGATGCCCGATCCAAGGACTCACACACTCACATTTGGCGGCATGATTGGTCGTGATGCATTCCGTGTTGATTATCCCACAGGAATGGAGACCGCATCCATCCTTAAGTTTATCTACAGACTTCGTTATCCCTACAAGAGCTGTCAGTCGTTGCCCCTGTCTGTCACAGCGGCTGGGTAGAGTGGAAACACTACAAGGTTGCTCGGTCCTGCCATCTTGGAAGGTCCATCCATTTGGACATGATGCTGTGCAGATTGTTGCTGCCCCTTCAGTCTTGCATTTCATGATTCCATCCCCAATACTCAGGTCAGTGTGACACACAGGAAGTGACTCCACTTTCCTTTAGAGCAGGTGATGTTGTTTGGGGGAAGGCCTGTCAGTGCTGTGGTAAGGCTTCTCGCAGTAACTATTAGACAGTTTCGCTCAGCCTGAAGTGGGCCACAACCATTTTTGTTGTACAACATCCACTGTTCAGTGACGTAGTCTTTGAATGTTTCACTGACGACGTCTATGTTCTTTGTATGACATGTGATCGGCAGATGCTTCAACTATGCTGA